TGTTAGCAATGAAATCTCAAAGAATAGAGTTGGGTACGTCTAAAAGAATAATGATACTTCCATTTAATAAAAGATGAGTGTGGAATAACTAACATGCTTAGATAAACACTACATTAAGTTTTATATGTAATTATTTTTAGAACAGAAGAGAGACCTCAGATAGATATTCCAGAAAGATATTCACATCAAAATTAATTGCAACACTTTATGGTAACAGATGTTCATCACAAGATGTGGTGATAGTCTGACAGGTACGCAGTAAACCTAAATGTCAGAAGGCAATGATACCAATGCAATTTAAAAATTATTGACTGAATCCTGTTTTGAATATGATCAAATGAGACCATAGCTATTACTGTGACATCTGTAATTTGACCACTGACAGTATAACAGTGTGAAGTTATATCAATAATGATTGTAAGAATCTGACTGATACATAAAAATACCAATGCCTGTGGAGAGTTTCTGGTCTCTAGGCATCACAGGAATAAAGACAAGCTTCCAGGGAGTGTAATGAGCCTATTTTAACAATATAAGATATAGATATATATAGAGAGTATAACAATCAGGAGTAAATAACAGTAAAACAGACTTATCTTTAGGGACCAACAGACAGGTTTGTACATTCATATGTGCAGAAAATATTCTCAAATCTTCTTTTCACTTTTTAACCACTTTCACTGAGATTCTGCCAAGTGCATGATGATAACTAAAACAAAATGTCTTTTCTATGTAGCTAGAAGTATAATGTCTATGTGCAGATAGAAGGAATTTGAAATGAAAATTATCAAAACAACAGTATCATCAAATGGCTGCATTTAGGTATAAGATTGCAACAAAACATGTTTGTTCAGCAGAGTTTTCAGAAATGGTCCACTATAACCATAAAACTCAACTGATGCACATCACATTCCAATCCTATTCACATCACATTCCAATCTTATTCACATCACATTCCAATCTTATTCACATCTCATATCAATCTTATTCACATCACATTCCTATCTTATTCACATCACATTCCAACCCTATTCACATCACATTCCAATCTTATTCACATCACATTCAAAGCTTATTCACATCTCATATCAATCTTATTCACATCTCATATCAATCCTATTCACATCTCATATCAATCTTATTCACATCACATTCCAATTTTATTCACATCTCTTTCAAATCTTATTCACATCACATTCCTATCTTATTCACATCATACTCCTATCTTATTCACACCACACTCCTATCACATTCACATCACATTTCATATCATATTTACATCATAGTCACATTATGACAGCTCAGTGTGTTGCCATCACATTTCTACTGAAACACATTCATGTGTAGCTGTACAGTAATGCCATAGAGTTATTCAGAGTAAAAACTGTGAAAAATTCAGACCACAAGATTGTTGTTTTATTAATTTGCTATGGTAGTATCACTGAAGTGTAAGTAGACACCAGAAATCAGTATTAATTTGTAAATTGTGATTAAATTACTTCCCTGTACCATCATCACCCTTCTACACAAAACAGATGGGATGGCCGTATGCTCATTATCCACCTTCAGGCATTTTGATTTGATCTAAGATGACAATTTCAATTCATTTCTGAAAAAAGTGTGACTTTGTAAGTAGAATGTTCTACCATGTATGGTAATTTCATTGATTGTCGACTGGAGATGGCACAAAGTTAAGCTTCCTCATTGATTTTCCACAGCCTTTCAGTAATTAGGCACCAAAAAACACTCTCACCATGAAATTGTAGGCAGAAACCCAATTTCTAGCGAACAAAGCAAACATCAAATTAAAAAAAAAGTTATAAAGCCATGGAAATTTAATTTGTGATGAAAATGAAAAGTGATTACAGCAATGGAATATTCTTTAAAAACTTCAACACTTTTACACACGCCTCTTTAATGGCCATTGGCCACATTTGTATATGTGTGATCTCTACATCACTGGCACACTTGTATATGTGTGATCTCTACATCACTGGCACACTTGTATATGTGTGATCTCTACATCACTGGCCACATTTGTATATGTGTGATCTCTACATCACTGGCCACATTTGTATATGTGTGATCTCTACATCAGTGGCCACATTTGTATATGTGTGATCTCTACATCATTGGCCACATTTGTATATGTGTGATCTCTACATCAGTGGCCACACTTGTATATGTGTGATCTCTACATCAGTGGCCACACTTGTGTATGTGTGATCTCTTCATCTATGGCCACACTTGTGTATGTGTGATCTCTACATCAGTGGCCACACTTGTATATGTGTGATATCTACATCACTGGCCACACTTGTATATGTGTGATCTCTACATCACTGGCCACACTTGTATATGTGTGATCTCTACATCAGTGGCCACACTTGTATATGTGTGATCTCTAAATCACTGGCCACATTTGTATATGTGTGATCTCTACATCAGTGGCCACACTTGTATATGTGTGATCTCTACATCACTGGCCACACTTGTATATGTGTGATCTCTACATCACTGGCCACATTTGTATATGTGTGATCTCTACATCACTGGCCACACTTGTATATGTGTGATCTCTACATCACTGGCCACATTTGTATATGTGTGATCTCTACATCACTGGCCACATTTGTATATGTGTGATCTCTACATCATTGGCCACATTTGTATATATGTGATCTCTACATCAGTGGCCACACTTGTGTATGTGTGATCTCTTCATCTATGGCCACACTTGTGTATGTGTGATCTCTACATCACTGGCCACACTTGTATATGTGTGATCTCTACATCACTGGCCACACTTGTATATGTGTGATCTCTACATCACTGGCCACACTTGTATATGTGTGATCTCTACATCACTGGCCACATTTGTATATGTGTGATCTCTACATCAGTGGCCACACTTGTATATGTGTGATCTCTACATCACTGGCCACACTTGTATATGTGTGATCTCTACATCACTGGCCACATTTGTATATGTGTGATCTCTACATCACTGGCCACATTTGTATATGTGTGATCTCTACATCACTGGCCACATTTGTATATGTGTGATCTCTACATCAGTGGCCACACTTGTGTATGTGTGATCTCTTCATCTATGGCCACACTTGTGTATGTGTGATCTCTACATCACTGGCCACATTTGTATATGTGTGATCTCTACATCAGTGGCCACACTTGTGTATGTGTGATCTCTACATCAGTGGCCACACTTGTATATGTGTGATCTCTAAATCACTGGCCACATTTGTATATGTGTGATCTCTAAATCAGTGGCCACACTTGTATATGTGTGATCTCTACATCACTGGCCACATTTGTATATGTGTGATCTCTAAATCAGTGGCCACTGGCCACATTTGTATATGTGTGATCTCTACATCACTGGCCACACTTGTATATGTGTGATCTCTACATCACTGGCCACATTTGTATATGTGTGATCTCTACATCACTGGCCACACTTGTATATGTGTGATCTCTACATCACTGGCCACACTTGTATATGTGTGATCTCTACATCACTGGCCACATTTGTATATGTGTGATCTCTACATCAGTGACCACTCTTGTATATGTGTGATCTCTACATCAGTGGCCACACTTGTTTATGTGTGATCTCTACATCACTGGCCACACTTGTATATATGTGATCTCTACATCAGTGGCCACACTTGTGTATGTGTGATTTCTACATCACTGGCCACACTTGTATATGTGTGATCTCTACACAACTGGCCACACTTGTATATTTGTGATCTCTACATCAGTGGCCACACTTGTATATGTGTGATCTCTACACAACTGGCCACATTTGTGTATGTGTGATAATTACATCTGTGGCCACACTTGTATATGTGTGATCTCTACACAACTGGCCACACTTGTATATTTGTGATCTCTACATCAGTGGCCACACTTGTATATGTGTGATCTCTACACAACTGGCCACATTTGTGTATGTGTGATAATTACATCAGTGGCCACACCTGTATATGTGTGATATCTTTATCAATCAGTTTGAGTTTGTATTAAAGGTCAATTGATAGCGTAGGACATAAATTTAGATTCTGGAACAACTCTTTGACCTAGTGTTCTAATTCATCATTTGTTCTACGTTCTGAGATGTCATACTCCATTATTAACATTAATATTGAGGAGAAAAAATCTTAGGTCAGAAATTCTTTTGAACTATTGGTTCTACTTAGACTGGCTACCAGCCCTATTTTTCTACTTGTTTATCTCCCCTTCCCGTGGATTACACTTATAACACTCAATTTTAGACCTGATGTAATTATTCTAGAGACTGGGTCACTCTTGGTCCTATGATGTAGTGTAAATATGTCTCTCAGTAATGAAGTTTATAAAAATATACCCATATTCAGTGTTTGTACAATAAGTTACAGTTGACTTTATAAGAGTATAATGACACAAATTACAGTGCTGTAATCTATTGGACTGTACACAGGATCAAAACCCTCACCCCTACATCCAAACCTCTAAAGTGTTAATAATGTATGGTCAAAGCTTCTTTCAAAGATGTTAGATACTGCATTCTGTATTAAGGTATCACTTTACCAAGGGTTCAAGCTACTTCTTTTGCTAGTTAATACAACATGAAATCACAAATGTAATGGGTAAGATAACAGATTTGAACCAACAACTTCTGTCCTTCGATGTGAGTTTAATGAGAAACTGTGAAATCATCAAATTTTGTGTTTTATTTGAAACAATTCATTTGGTGAAACATGTAAAATCCTCGAAAATGAAACTCCCACAAAAGATTATGATTTGACAGGACTCTAATAAAACTACTCAGCTGGTCAACTATTGAAACCAGGAATAATATCTCCATTGAAAATATTTAATCAATGTAATATAACAAAAACCAATTAAACAGGTGTAAATAATGTAGTCATTTGTATTATTCATACAATTATAAAATATTACAGTTATAGGGTGTAAGAAGAGATAAGATGTCCTACCTCTGGGGCCGAGGATTTCCACAACAGGGGTAACAGTGTACTCTGTAGGAACACATTCCTTCCAATGGTTTGACAACTGCTTTAGTTTTTTCGACATTTTTCTGCGATGATTTTCTTTCCTTCAGAACATTTAGTTACCAATCAAAATACAAATTAGTGGTAATACATCCAACACATTGAGTCAGTAACACATTTTCCTACAAAGTATCCAACTTTGTATCAGGTATCTGACTGGTTAAATCAGGTGTGTATCTCGTTGAGCCAAGTAATCGAAGTTGTATTAGGAACGGAATCACAGGTAATTTCTTCAAAGTACAAGTAAACCACACTAGTCACTACTTGTGCCACAGATAGCATGGTTCCTCAAGGTCCCCAACTAGTATAGGTCATTGGAGAGTAATTCCCTTTTCTGTAACAAAGTCATTATTTCAAGCACTTCTCTATATACCCTAAATGTTTTAAATCACATCAGCTGAAATTGAGGAAAGTGAAACAATAGTGTGACAATAGTTGGCTGATAAGATATCTATATACAGTATCTATATGAGGGTACTGGGCTGTACAAAAAGATAACAGTGATAAATCTGATATATATCATTACAATGACAGTAACCCAGATACTGATGGAGTATCATACTGTTTACTCATTCTTCTGCATTATACAAATTCCATATCGCTTGGAGCAGATCCTACGCAACATATATGTGAGAATGGCTCTCAATATCTAATGTACAGTAGACATGACAACGTATCCCAACACTACCTCTGGCACAGCCCAGCTGACAATAAAAATCAGATTTCCACAGTCGCAGCTTCTCAACTTAAAATTCCAGCAAATATTGACACAAATAAAAAATGTCTAAAGATTTTGTCATAATTGGTGGAGTCGCACAATAAAATCCTGTTTAGACCATATGTGTTCATTAAATACAATAGCTCACTCTACATCACCTGTTCACCAATCTGTTCTGGTATTATTCCAGTTACGTCAGACACATGAAGAAAATGAGTTGTACAGATTTCTGCACTCAGTGATGTTAGACAAACATAAAAACACTTCCAGTGTAAATCGCTGATGGAAACTTGACAATACACCATCATTTCATCACATTGTCAATTACTGTAATGCATTACTATTATTCCATTAAAGAAACCACCTTAACTCAGAATGATGTAAAACTTGCTATATTATGATAAATTTTGAAATTCATTAGTACAAAATCCTGGGGAATTCCCATTATGCAATACTAATGTTGCTTTCTCCCATGTACCACCAGTATCTGTAGAGCGATGTCACATCAAAACTGATTTACGGTTCCCGTATTGGTGAAATGTGCACAGAGATTTGAGAAGTAACCAATAAGTTTGTTAAAACGGTGCAGAGTGCCGATTCCTTGGGTATATATAGCAGACCTAATGTATCACTGCTCCAGTGCTAGTGAGCATTTGTTGGCAAAAAAACGACACAATTTTGACACATGTACTCTTAACACAGTATGCTTCCAGTAATGATTTCCATCTGTACAATATCCGCAGGTATGTATACCTGTACAGATTGAGCAAGAGGGAGAGTTCTATCACATTATACGACCAGGTTTCAGAAAGGACCTAGATCAGTCTGTAATTGCACTATTGTTGAAACATTATCGAGACTCTGCCCTCAAGACTCTGCCCTCGGAGTCTCTTCTTCCCAGTAATGTCTTTCCCCACCTACACAGACATAACTGGCTACATCATGATTATGATCATTCCTGCCACATGCTTATAGATACACCTCTCAGTACTGGAGAGGTGCAGCATTGTCTGGGAGTCCCTGAGATACAGTGGCTGGGAAGTATCCCTGCCTGCTTGATCGCCATTCGCTGATGTCTCTTTTTTCCAAAGAAATCATCACTCAAGGTACCTCCATCTTGGCAGACGTCCCTGAGTCGATAGTGGGCCCAGATAGCTTTGTATTTACCATCTAATATTAGATAAAATAGTTATCTGATCTGCCAATAAATGATGTAAAAGTAAACTTGTCAGAGAATATTTTTTTTTCTTTTCCTTATTACTATCATATGAGTGTCTCGATACATATCACAGAGGAACTTACATAACAAAAGGGGGAAACTATGTTAAAACACGTTCTTAACATCATTGCAAAGACCTGTGAAGATTGTAACAGTAAACTGAAACAAGAATCCTTAGTTTTTAGAATCCAACAAAATATATTAATAGAATATCTCATTCCATTCATGTATATAGAAAAATGTCAAATGATAACTGATGAATAATGAAAGAAAAAAATGTAGAAAATACAACTTCAAAATTGAGAAAATATATCATTTAGTAACTTGATTCACTGGCGGTCTTTTATGCATTAGTAATCTAAATATCACAGGCCTCCATATTATAGCTACTATTCCATCTTACAGTCTATCAAAATATCTAACACCTCTATAATGTACTGTCTTAAAACAACTTCATAACAGCATGCTCTTCAATTCTGAAAGTTAAAATTTGGAACTCTCTGCTCATAGAGTAGCAATTCAAAACTGGAGCCAATGGTAAAAATATAGATATGTCTAATGTTCTATCAAATCAACATGTTCATCCTGATTTTTGTTTCCTTAATGTCAGACAAAGTGTTCCTTGTAAAATTACAAACTAGCTCTCCGCCAAGACTGTGATATACAAACTACAGCCCTCTAGTCTTTCTAATGTAGGAGGAGGATGTTTTGACAGGTTTTTATCTATTTTCTTAGATAGGATATGTGATTTTGGCCAAGGAAAACCTACTCTGCAATCTGCAATTGTAAAAAACACTTTCAATACCACCAATCCTTGTCATCCCCTAGATCTGCTCAACACATCCCTGCATACCTCCTAAAATATATTTCAAGATGTATAAAATCCAGAACTGTTATCTCAATGTTGTTTTTATCTTGGTTACCTGTATATAACACATACTGAATCAAACAAATATTTCACAAGATTTTATATAACTACAAAAACAATCACACAGAAAATTAGCATAAAACTCCGATATGAAAACAGATAAAAACTAAGCGTACCTTACAATTATCCCGTCAAATTATCATCTTTTTGAATTCAAATATTAATTACTTTCAGAAAACAAAAATGACCTTGGCAAAGTGAAAAACCCTTATCACAGATTCTTAAAGTATCCCATTTCTAGGCTCTAAATTCTCCAGACAGATCCCAGTAAGATTTTACCAGGAGTTGATACACATTGCTGTGGTTGAGGAATCTGTAGTGAGAACACTTCAGTAAATAGCTCACTTGTTATAGACGTACCATCATGTTTAAAGACATTCAATCCTTCCTTGTAGACAATTTAGATTTTTGTTTTGCTGTTATGTAATTTTTGAAATTGTGTTCTCGGTTATACAGGAAGGGCTATAAATCCAGTCTATATCAAAATAAACACAAACATTTTATGTCTTTTAGTATGTTCAGTTTAAAAAAAATTCAAATTGTTTCATAAAGAATATTTTAATGCTAATATTTAAAAAAAAACAAAAAAAATAAGTGGAAAACTACCACTAGCATTACTAGAAAACTTTGCTTTTAAACCAATACATCTATTAACTTGGTATTTATTTTACTGAACTGACCTTGAAGATAAGATTACAATTACTTAATTACAGCCAACTGTACACATTATAGTGGTGATGCACTGGTCCTTAGTGTGGTTTAGAACTGTAATTACACGATAAATCACTCCTAGGACAAATGCCATCAGACATCCATCAAACACTACACCAGTGTGGAATGAAGGTGGGACATGAGCAATGATAAGCTGCAGGATTCACTGAGGTAATTTGACACACCTAAATATGGTCACAGAGGATATTGACAAACAATTCAAAAGGAATATTTTACATGCTGACCATTATCAAATGACAATTATGTATGCCCACAGGGTAGTAATTTAATACTTAAACCAGTCACTGACCATTATGACCCCTGTGAATGGTACTATCAACCCAGCCTATTATAGCATCATATCCAAGGACTGTTCCAACCAGTTATTAGCACAACAGAACCCAATACATACAGCACCAAATACCAACAGCACAAAGCACCCAATACCTACAGCACCCAATACCTACAGAACCCATTACCTACACTACCCAACATCTACAGCATCCAATACCATCATAGCCAAAGACTTGTTAGCTCTACAGAACCCAATGCCTACAGTACCCAATACCTACAGAACCAAATACCAACAGCACACAGCACACAATACCTACAGAACCCAATACCTACAGAACCCAATACCTACAGAACCCAATACCTACAGCACACAATACCTACAGAACCCAATACCTACAGCACACAATACCTACAGCACCCAATACCTACAGCACACAATACCTACAGAACCCAATACCTACAGCACACAATACCTACAGCACACAATACCTACAGAACCCAATACCTACAGAACCCAATACCTACAGCACACAATACCTACAGCACACAATACCTACAGAATACCTAAAGCACACAATACCTACAGCACACCCAATACCTACAGCACCCAATACCTACAGCACACAATACCTACACCCAATACCTACAGAACCCAATACCTACAGAACCCAATACCTACAGCACACAATACCTACAGCACACAATACCTACAGAACCCAATACCTACAGCACCCAATACCTACAGCACACAATACCTACAGCACCCAATACCTACAGCACACAATACCTACAGCACACAATACCTACAGAACCCAATACCTACAGCACACAATACCTACAGAACCCAATACCTACAGCACCCAATACCTACAGCACCCAATACCTACAGCACCCAATACCTACAGCACCCAATACCTACAGAACCCAATACCTACAGCACACAATACCTACAGCACACAATACCTACAGAACCCAATACCTACAGAACCCAATACCTACAGAACCCAATACCTACAGCACACAATACCTACAGCACACAGCACACAATACCTACAGAACCCAATACCTACAGCACCCAATACCTACAGCACACAATACCTACAGAACCCAATACCTACAGCACACAATACCTACAGCACCCAATACCTACAGCACACAATACCTACAGCACACAATACCTACAGAACCCACCTACAGCACACAATACCTACAGTACCCAATACCTACAGCACACAATACCTACAGAACACAATACCTACAGAACCCAATACCTACAGAACACAATACCTACAGAACACAATACCTACAGCACACAATACCTACAGCACACAATACCTACACACAATACCTACCTACCACAAACCTACAATACCTACAGCACACAATACATACACCCAATACCTACAGCACACAATACCTACAGCACACAATACCTACAGAACCCAATACCTACAGCACACAATACCTACAGAACCCAATACATACAGAACCCAATACCTGCAGAATACCTACAGCACACAATACCTACAGCACACAATACCTACAGAACCCAATACCTACAGAACCCAATACCTACAGAACCCAATACCTACAGCACCCAATACCTACAGAACCCAATACCTACAGAACACAATACCTACAGCACCCAATACCTACAGAACCCAATACCTACAGAACCCAATATCTTCAGCACCCAATACCTACAGAACCCAAAACCTACAGCACCCAAAACCATCCTAGCCAAGGAGTTGTTCAGTACTACAGCACTCATACCACTCTTGCGTCATAGCCATAGACTGTTTATGACCAATTATTAATGCTATAACACCTAATACCACCCTATCCTGGACTGTTCATAACTGTTCTCAATATCAAAGCCCCTCATGCAATTTAACTTTACCTTATCCATGTTTTCTTTAGGGTAATTCAATATAGTATTGTATGATAAAAACCTGTGTCATCTACGATATTTCTGCAATATTTCAAATTTTGTTATGGTGCCACCAAATCTTTATATCGCCCATATCATCCTCTTGAAACCACACACACAGAAGCCCTTTTTGGTAGGTCTACAAACAGTGCCAATCTGAAGAGTGACTAATGTACTTTTGACAATAACAAAGGCTGTTGGTGGATACTATCGTCTGCTCAGAGAAGAAATGAAATCAATTTAGTGAAATAACTGAGAAGGCCAAACACATTGATAGAGTACATATTTGTGAGTTCGTAAATAAACAAGCTATGAAAATATCAGTTTTGAATTCTAATACTTGATTAAAAAGTTTCTGAAGAAAACACAATTTTGTATCAAAATAAATTTCTAATGTTGTTTCCTGTCCTTTGATTGGCTAATAAGAAGGCCAAGGTCTAGATTATTTCATAACTTGAATCATGTTTCAGTTATTGCATCATGGGAGAAATCACATGCTGCTGATCATAATGTGTACACTAATGATGTTTTTCACACTAAATATGTTGTTCATGCAACGGCAAAGATAAAGGAAAGTTTACATCAGATGAGAAGAAATAATAGATTAAAATGCCATTTTTTGTTAAGAAAACTTTTTCAATTGTTTCATTCAAATTTTTTTATTTTTTGAATGCACTGTCAGATTCATGCTTACATCCCTGACCTATCATACCTGTGTATTATTTTTAGGCTGTTGAGGCATGTTCTGGGTGGATATCTTATAGATAGATACAATATCTTTTGATCTTTCTATCCTAGTGAGACATGAATATGAAAATAATTATTAACTGGACGCTAAGATATACAACGAATAAATGAAGAGTTAGAGTTTGTAATTAATATAGGCTAGTTTGAGCTTGTTTTCTAATCCCCAATAAACCTAGATTATCTGCTCTTGATTAAACAACCTTTCTTAAAAAACTCTTTTAATTGAATTAACTAAGAGACAAATGCATAATATTACAGTACATGATAAGGAATATAAAACAAGAAACATATGTATATGTGTTAATTAATCTATAATAAAATGATATGGGGATGAACTCTTTCTTGTAATTAATTTTGTTCACTATTAAATCAATAATATCACAGGGCTCTCGATCTGCCAGATTTGGGGCTGATATTCGGCCTCATTCCCAATGCAAAATAGTATCTTTTTTTCCTAATTTAGACCCCAAGTTTTCCCAATTCCAAGGAAAACGCCGCTATTTTTCCCAATTCTAAGGGGCCTGGGCCCCAGACCCGAAATGGGGTGTGAGAACCCGGTATCAATAATAGCTGCTCTCAAGTGTGATACACAATATGTACACATGTACTGTCAGCAATCAAGGAAAATGTATTGTTCTGTAAGGCAACCTATTTAACAAATATGACTATGACACTTGGTACATTGGGATGAATTATGAAAATATAAACAATATACCTTTAGTGTATTTTAGGCAAGTGTCTGACGATGTTTCACGGTAACACATGCTATTTATATAAGATGTACACATGGGCACCAATCAAGTTGTCATTTCCGCTACAGTTAAATCATCATTTTTATGCCCCCGGATCAAAAGATTGGGAACATTGTTTTTGCACTGTTTGTTTGTTTGTTTGTATGTCAGCTATAACTTTGCCCATAACTACTGCACTGTAACAGGTAGGGCTTTCATATTTGGCATGTGTGTTCCTTGTGACAAGACCTTTTTGGTAATACCAAATTCTGTTACCATGTGACACTGACCATGACCTTTGACCTACGACCTACATTTTAAAAATTTAACATTTGCCATAACTATTGCATCATAAGAGGTATGGCTTTCATATTTGGCATGTGTGTTCCTTGTGATAAGACCTTTATTGTGGTACAAAAATGTTTAACCATGTGATTTTAATTTTGTTGCAACCAGAGGTGAAGTGTTTCATAAACATACCTTCTTTCATATGTAAAACTGAGACTTTGTAATCATATCAAGTACATTTCTTTTGATGTCACTTACTTTAGTTAGTATTTTAAGATACATATTCCAAACAAAATTCCCCAAAAATAGAACTGATTAATATATTTACTAACATATATTCAAGTCATGTGATCCTGAAAATGAAACCATATCCAATCTCATGAAGATAAATGTGTACTGATATAAATTGCAGGTCATAAACAAGCAACAACAACTATAAACACTATGATTTACAACAAGATTTATTTCACAATGTAAAATCACCATATTTCAAAGTTACCAATGCAAAGTCACTTTTGCCTGGTACATTTTTCATAGCCTCCTTCACATAATGCATGTAACAATAATCACTGTAATAAAACCCCAGGTACTTTGAATATTTGAAATTCCATCTTAGTACTTATGTTTATAGATAGGTGTTACATGTAAGTTATTATCTACAGTGTAGACTTTTATTTATTTACCTGTTGATGACATCACACAGGCATATTTGTTCAGATTAGAGTTATCTTTTCATGGCTTTGTGCGGGAATGTACGTACAGGAAGAGATAAAACTAACATATCTGTGTCGCCCATCTCTCTGCTGAAATAGGCAATACCTGTCTGTTTATCTGTCTAGTGAAAAACAATCTGTAAGAATGACAAAGGAAAAGATTTAAAATGAAGAAAACCCTTCTTTGTTTAATCAGATTAAAAGCTGATTTGTTCTGAAGTTGTTTAAGGAAGTATTTAGATTTTATCTATTTATCTCATGATGAAGAAAAACCAGTGACCTGACATTGATCTTACTGTCTTACTGATTCTATCTGCTAATCAAAAGCAGATTACAATTAGTTGTTTGTAATCAATGACCAAAAGAGAAAATGGGAAGGGACTGTGGAAGTAAAATATGCAAGAAAATATCTGTACAAGTCCGACAAGGAGTAGAGCGTTAGTATAAAATCAACTGACATAAACTGTAAGAGCTGTTGGAGTACAAAGATGAATAATTTGTCTACTGGCTAACATCCTTACACAAATCCATTATATAATAGAGTGTTTCACTTTAAATCATCCAAGAACATCTAATTTTTCCCTCTCATTCTTTAAGCTGATTAGCAAGAAAAAACATTATGAAAGTCAATAAATATGAAGATTAAAAGTTGTAAAAACAAGTATCAGACTAAATCTCACATGTGTTTCTTGGAAAATCTTTAACGTTGTCATACATTTTCTTGATACCATCAGTTTCAAACTGAGATCTCTCATGTAAGATTTGGAAATATTACATTATGAAAGTAAATGTGCTGGCTGAAGATAAAACAAAATCTAAATCAGAAGTTATCTGAAATTGTTTTGAGACGCAAACCAACCCCAACTATAGTGAAGATTTAATTACATCAGTAACACAGTAATAAGATTGGAAGAGTTATTTCCCCTGCCAAGACTGGTTAGGTTAGTTTATTGTTGTTATCCTCCCATTTACAGCCAGGGTCATGGCACTAATTCATAATGGTAGAGGATGTTAGGAGTTATGACATATCAATCAACCCCACAAATTTATAACTTCACAGTAGTCAGTAGTAGATGCATGTTGCCAAGGGTTCAGGTGAGTATTATGTTTTACCTGACAAATGGTATTTGAATTATTATACAAATATAAAGTATCCAGGTAAATTTGGTCAACATTTTAATTACTGGCATATCAACACTAAAAGATAAGATAACAGTGGCAACCACAGCTGAGGAACGACATCATCCTTATCTCCTGATAACTCTGTCCCATTACAATCTGTGACAAGGAAATTGATGAGAGTTTTAAAGTTCACGATTACCAGAAATCTCCAGAATTCCGTCTGTTGATACTCGACATTTACAACTTTCATTAATAACATATATAATATTTACGGACCAAACCACTTTTACATGTTAAGAAAACCTTCAAAAATTGCCAATTAAGAAGGTGTAGATTAGTGCTGGAATGAGGATTGGATTTAATCAATTATCTTATTATTTAAGATCATCCCATACGACGATCGATTGTAATTTTTCATAATCCATTATCCATACCTTCTTATGTTTTAGTGAAAACCAAACTTATATTATGCATAATAAAGGTGCCAATTGTAAATTATATTCTTTTCATGACAATTCTGCAAATTCTAAATGAGGTATTTTAGGTTAAAGTTACAAAAAAAAAAAAAAAATACAACATGGGAGAATACATTCACTTTCTATGAAACAGTCAGCCATTATATAATTCATTAACTTCATTGTAAAATCGATCTGATTTTAACTGATAACTAATTGAACTGATTTCCTATTACTAGTGTAGATTGTAAGTAAGATCTATATCAATTAGAAAACTGATTTGATGATACAATAAAACAAAATAAAATTTGAATCAATTTCATGAAACAAAAAAAAAGTACCAGTTAAATCTGGGTTATTACAAGTATGGGAGGATTTTTAAATATTTAACAGAACTTTTTTGAGCTTTGATATTGTTTGAATTGCTTTCCATACTCTCTTCTTTCTCTGAAATGGATTTACATGAACCTTTCTCTTTCCGAAGACACATCAGCCATCAAAAGACACTTAATTGATAGGGATAAGTAAACAAGAAGTATGGCAACAACATTCATACTGGAAGGAATATATGATGAAAAGTATGGTGATGTCACAGAATATCCATAAATAACTCAGTGTATTTACACTAAAGAAGCCAACGTGCCCAAAATTATAACTGAACTCATAACTTACTGGAGAGGCAACAGTGGAAACTGACTGCTCGAGTAATGGAATGTCCAATTCATTGCAGTGTGGATGTGGTTTTTCCATTCATTGCCGTCACTCTCATTCTCACAAAAAATAATTGTTGAATGTCCTGTATAAATGATTCCTGTAACAGTAATATAATAATTTGATAAACGAATCAAATACAATGAAATCATAAGTAAATATACACTCACCAGTACTTTTCAAATGCTGAAACTTCAGGTTTTTCACTCCGTCACAAAAACAAAGCGACAGGGAGACTGTTGTGGTGTGAAGCCTGGAGAAGAACTTCTTCCGGACCTGGTAACTTTACATGTTTAGTCAGCTTAGTAGTATATCATATTACAGGAAATAAACATGACGCTGAAATGAGATAAACACAATAGTCAATCCTGAGAAAAACACAATTTCCTTTAATATGATTGTCTTATTGTGATTCTTTCTATCATTTGTGAAATATTTATTGATCAGAATACTGTATGCTGAATATTCACCTTATTAAATTTCCAGACTCAAAGTGCCTTTCTGGACTACAGCTGAGCTGGCTTGTATTTTCATCTGCTGCCATGGTGAAATCTGGATTCCATACTTGTTGCTGTCTCATTTGAAAGTAAGAAAAGAATACATTTTTAAAAACCAAATTTTTTTACAATTAGAATATTATCAACTATAGCCTAAAACATTGCCTGTAACAATTAACCAAAAATTGTACATGGTAAGCAAAATTAAAGTAGTTCTATATTTAATTGTGTTAACTCAAATAAATGATTGATTCTTAAATGTCAATTATTATTTTATACATTACCTAGGTATAACTAATAGTGTTTAGTTAATTAACAGTATAGTCAGATTAGCAGAGTTATTCCCATAAATCACAAATTAAGTGATAGTTGTTTATCAATCCCTTCAGCTTAATTATTAAAAATTAAATAAATCAATGTGCAATGCTTGATTTCATTATCTCCCTATCCTTTCGTTGGTATTATACCTAACCCGTTATCAAAAAGAACATCTTAATCTATGAAGATTTCAGTACTATAAGATTAGTTCGATTCAATGATAATGCTACATACATATATGTATAATACTGGCTGGTCAGACATCACAGGTTCAGCAAATGGCTAACCCTGTTGGAGGGAAGTGTAATCATCATATTGAATGTACAAAGCTATTTACTTATCAAGGACACAAGGGAATGTTTATGCTCTCTACAGGATGTAGTGATAAAAACTTAACAAAACTTTGCAAGACACTCATAATGTTTCTCCCCGTTTTCAAATTTTTAATGAAAAACAAGATATTTAATACTTTTTGTGTGATTACTATGCCAAATAATGAATAATGCTTCTGAATGTACTGTAAATAAACAATGGTCAGTTCTTGTGATTTCTACGGTAAGGGAACTATAGACTGACCTGTCCAGGTAAACAGGAAGTGTTTTGTGGATGTTAGGATGTCAGGTTTTTTGGTTGAACTTTAACCTCGGCATGTTTCTGGTCATCTCATCTTGTCTGCCCTGTAAATTTCCTGGTTGATAGATTATTCATCTATGTCCTGGTGAGATGTATCACATTTACATCTCTCTCCAGGATTTCTCTTCTCTTAGATATCCAGAAAAGTTAGCTTCATAAGATATTTCATCATTTCTTTCAGCTCAAATTTTTACTACACACCTCTAACAATAAGCCCATGCCTGTTGATATGCTCACTCACGAGCAGAAACTTTTGCATGCCATTTACTGTCATAAGCCCATGCCTGCTAATAACCCCACTCACAAGTAGAAGCTTCTGTATGTCATTTACTGTAATAAGTCCATGCCTGCTGATAAGCCCTCTCACAAGTAGAAGCTACTGTATGTCATTAAACACCCATGATATACTACATGTTGTTTATAGCTTTGAACACCACTGTAATTAATTAGATACGTTTTAAAATATATGCTTACATCATGATATACTACATGTTCTTTATAGCTCTGAACACCACCGTAATTAATTAGATACGTTATAAAACATATGGTTACATCATGATATACTACATGTTCTTTATAGCTTTGAACACCACTGTAATTAATTAGATACGTTATAAAACATGTGGTTACATCATGCTAATTAAAATAAGTTTAAATCCAACCGATTTCTCAAAACAAAAATGCAGTTGTAATGAAAAATAACAACAACACCTTGCAGAGTAAAAATAAAAACAATGTTAGCAAGCAAATGTTTTAGTTGAACCAGAGACACATACACGTCTGTTGAAACAGAGCATTTTTGGTTAAAAAATAAATAAATAATACTGCACTATTCTAGACGACTAAGAAATGCTTTAATTTTGTTGTCAGGATATGTGAAATCACAGCAGAGAGAAGAGTTATCCCATTATCGTCAATACCGCACAACATTGCGTGGTAAGAAGGAGAGGATTCTGGTTTTTGGAAAGAGAAGTAAGATTACATTTAAAGATACAAAGAGTATAGAAATACTAGATATGTCAGGAGTTTATTCCAGTCAGTTATAGTTTTCAGACGTACGTACAATGGAGTGCGTTGATACGTCTCTGTTACATGCAACCACAGACTTATACGTATGGAAAGAAAGCAATAATCTTTGGCGCGCGAGCATGGACAGTCTTCACACCTTCAATATTCCCCGCTATCAAATATTTCTACTATTCGGAGTGTTATGGACTTCATTATAGTACAGGCGACTAGTTTCGATGTACTCCGAAATAAAAACGGCGCGCGCAATATTAAATTTACTTCCGTTCTCATTTTAGCGCACATGTCGGAAAATTTGAAATAGACTTCCACGAAACCAGTCCTTGATACAACGGACAGGAATGCATTCCCCGAGTGTTGAAGTACACGGTAATATCAGTCAGATAACAATAGTAAGATAAGGTCAATCAGTTTTTTCGAAATGTTTTGTGACAATTATAAACAAACTACCTGTGCTGAAGAAGGTGTGTGAGGTCTATACATGGTCAGTTTCTTTTTAAATTCGATTTTTACCGGTTTCCCTCGATCTCTGTGGTGAACGATGTCGCAGAAACGTGTATCACAGGAGAAGAAAGCTCGCAATTATATGATTTGGTTTATTACCCCATCGTCAGACTAAGAGATGATATTCGACTTAACGAGTTACTTTGAGATGTATGTCTGATGTGGTTCCAGAGCACACCCCAATACGAATACGTTATAATTTGTTTAATAATGTCATAATGATCCTGTTCGTTAATTCGTTGGCAAGAAGTGCTGAGAAAAAAAGACAATATATGGGAACGTATGAGATAAAATCCTACATAGCCTTGTTCTATGTTCGGATAATATGGAGTATATAGATTACTACAGAGTATAGCACAACCAGAGTGTAAACAAAGCAATGGCTGGATTTGATGGATTTCCCATTGCAGATACATATCGTGTATAAACTACAATTCTATATAAATATGTATACGCGAGTAAAGTAAAACATACTAGAAAGTTAGAATTTGCAGTGTTCAGTACATGCATAGAAATATGATAAAACTAGGAACACTTCTAAACTAAGTATTTTTAGTTTTATTACACCACTCCACAAATGAGAGCTTCTATTTTCATATGTACATGAATCTAAAGACATTGTCACTTTCTAGCTTTTCCAATTAGCTCAACTGGTAGATCGGTGGACCAGTAAGTCAAAGGTTGCTGGTTTGATGTCTGGCAAAGGCAAATTACTCTGGGATCCATTACAGGTGGCCAGGGTTCAATCATTTAATTAGTGAATGCACTGACATAATAATGCTACAGCTAAAATGTTCATGGATGACCACTCGTTCTGTATAAACTCATAGCTTTGGAAGTTTATCATATATAGATACAGCTGTTCAGGTTTAGCAATATTGATTTATTTAAGTATTTCCACAAATTCTATGAGTCTCATGGACATGCTATGAGTACAGGATTTTTGATTCCCATCTAGATTGATCACTGTACCATCATTTCCATTTTTTTCCATGAACCTGTTTTAATGAACCATTCAGCTCATAAATAACTCCAAATATTGCACCTAGTTCTGCCACAACATATATCAGAGCTGAGACTTGCAACATGATGTTTTCTTCATGTGTATGAAGTATTCTAAAAGCAAAATAAACTTCCCATCCATCCTCATTTCTTTCACCATTGAATAGAAATTCTACATATTGATATAGATTTATCATCTTCCATGACGTTCTTGGCAATGGTACATTGGAGGGATGTGGAAACACTACTATTGATATTATATTGCTTCTATATAATGATTACAGGGACTGGAGGGTTCAACTCATTTAGTATGGAGCCAATGATGATGGGATCACCAGGAAGTCCGACCAGTCCCACAGGGGGCCATCAGTCTCAATTCTTACCTAGCTTTCTCCTAGGGGACCAGACACCTCATTCTGTATCGGTAACTATCAACAGGATAATTCTAGATAATATTGCAAACTTAACTTTAAAATAACTTAAAGATTCAAATGGTTATTTTTTCTGTGATATAATTTTGAAAGTTTGTCAGGAGCACACATAAAAAATGATTAACATATGGATGTATTTATTGTAGTATTTCTAAATTTTGTTTTGTTTCATTTTGTTTATTTTTTTTTTCAATGAAATTTAATCTTAAATGGATTTGATTGATTTTAGAGAATTTATAAACCAGAGTATGTAGAGGACATTGAGTTTTTATTGGATGTGTATTTGATATCTGGAACTTGTATTATATTTGTAGCCTGGACCTAGAATTTGGTCAGCTGCTAGTCCCAGTCCACCAAAGTCAGCATCCAGAGCTGGTCTCATGGCCAACAGTTTCAACACCTCAGGAATGAGGTTTGTGTGTGTAATTTTAGTTGTTAATGATGACACAGGTAAACATCTAGACAAACATATCAGGCAAACAATGACAGCATTTTGGAACCTGTTACTGTAGTATACACTGATGTGTGATCCTTTTTGAGAGATGTGGGTATTTGATATACATTACAGGTGTTTATCAAGAGATTTGTACTTACATTGTTCATGGTTGCTTTCAATCTTATGTGAAAAAAATTGTTTTGGCCGTGGGCTGCATTAGACAAAAAACTTTCTTTAAAAAATTAGCTTGTTTTAATGAAATCAATTTAGTACCAAGCTAGTAAAGATCAAAGAGTTGAGAATCTTTTTCTGAATTTTCAGGTAATAAATGATCATTAGTAACTGAATACCAAGTGGGTTAATGTTTGTAAACTTGTCAACTTTAATGATTGTTGCTAACATTTAGTATTCATTGACCATCATTTACAGTATCATGTGTTTAGGACAAATCTTCATTAACAATAAAAATGGGGTAATTCATTTCAGTCGAGGAGAGGTACTTAGACCAAAAGAGAAAGTAGGTGCCCCACCCACTAAAAGCTTAATGGGTCATGCAAGCCCAGTAGGAACCACACCAACAGCTTTTGGAACACCCAATGTTCATCAGGTATTTTAGTAATATCTTGTCCTTATTATAAAATTTTGATAATGATGCTTTCGAAGTTAAGGTTTGATATAATCTTTTCCCTGAAATTAAGGTTCAATACAATTTTGTTATTAAAGGTTAAATATAGACTTGCCTTTAAAGATACATATGTTGACTCATTTATTTGCTATAGGCAATAAAGTCTTTGCGTATTTTACACATTTAACAAGGACAGTGGCATGGCTATAATTATAAAACATTATCCCAAATCTAAAAGGATGATACTCCAATTAGGTTTTACTGATTACGAAAGTTAGTTTTTAGTTGTTCATTTTGAAAATCTTTATGTGGGAAATTTCTATAGATACAAATTTTTGCCTCGGCAAGATATGCAGAGATGCATACTTTGAGTTGAAGGCATATTGATACAACAAGTTAAATACATTTTCTGAATGCACAATGGTTTTTTCAACAGGTGTCTAGATCAATGCACACTCCTGGATCTATGACTAGTACACCAGCACCACCTACAACAGGTAACGTTTATTGGTGTTCAAAATTCTGTTGTTTGCATTTCCAGTAGACAACCAAAAATTTAATGGTCAAGAGGGGACTATCTTGGATTTGATTATTAAAGAGTATTATTGCTATTCTTTAAGGGAATTTCAGATTTTATATACTTATAAGAGGAAAGAAGGGAAAAGATCCAATATTTAAAGTGCTCCTGCTAAATATATTTCTTAATGGAGTAGGCCTTACCTAATATGGGATGATTATGAAATATTGACAGGATTGTCACAGACTTTGTCGGAGAGTTTGGTCCAGGAACAGATGGCAGGTGGAAGTAGAATTCCTATCTCACCCGCACAGCTGGACCCGTTCTACACACAAGGGTAGGTGTGGTACACAAATTTAGATCCTTTTGTCTTTTACTTAGTTATAGTTTTTGTATTTGCGTGTCCCTTCCTTCTGCTAGGTGTTGTCTCACAAACAAACCTCAGTATCAATGCCTGCAGATCTTTACCCCAGCACATGGAGAACTTATACAAGTGTTCAGTATGAACGAGGGACTTACCAACAATATATGGGTAATTTATTACAAATGGGAGACTCATATTCCATCTAAAATGAGTGCAAGTAGTATGGTGTTACAAATGGGGTTAGTTATCGTGACACACAGGAGTGAGTGATAACCTATGGCAACTGTGTTAAACTTCCTCTACATGTATTGGGAGAGATTACTAAAGTATGTATGAAACCTTGACCTAAATTTGAAACCATGTAATATAGGTTGTCTAGTACTAATGAGCTTGATATGTACTTGTGACACATTTCATGGACATGATCTTGCCATTCTCTCTAAGTCCATCTTATTGTGTTCATCAAAACAAGTGCTTTCAATAGATTTCAATAGATTTTCACAGCACATTAAAAAACCAAACAAATGCTGCACTCTTTCTAGTTTCACTTATTCAGTTATTATGGTGGTTATACATGGAACTTTGTGCTATAAAATCTATAATTAGGTTACTTTTCCCTACAGTTCATGCTGTCAGCTAAGAAACTTGACTTTGATAATGTTGGAAATGAAAATAATGGATGTTTTTATGTCATGTTGTCTGTAAGGAAAATAATGGATGTTTTTATGTCATGTTGTCTGTAAGGAAAATAATGGATGTTTTTATGTCATGTTGTCTGTAAGGAAAATGATGGATGTTTTTATGTCATGTTGTCTGTAAGGAAAATGATGGATGTTTTTATGTCATGTTGTCTGTAAGGAAAATAATGGATGTTTTTATGTCATGTTGTCTGTAAGGAAAATGATGGATGTTTTTATGTCATGTTGTCTGTAAGGAAAATAATGGATGTTTTTATGTCATGTTGTCTAGGGAATCATTAACATCAGATGACATTTTAGATGAGACGTGGGTGACAGTGTTCGGGTAAGTATTGAGATTCCATATCTTTTGTGCTGTACCAATCTTGAAATTTATGGAAATTTTGGGGGGGAAACCTAATTTCTTTCTGCGTAAAATGTTTTAAAAATGAAATCAAACTGAGCGCTTTACAAAATAAAATTGAGTTATATAATCACACTTGTCTATATTACAGAAGAAATTCATTCATTCATTAAGCTTGACTATTATATTTCTGACTGATATCTGTAAACCTACATAATTGGTGATCTTATTTCAGCATTTTTCATGCTATAGATGTTGATGCACTAATCTAGCATAACAGTGTGTTTGTCATTTGCTGTGTTCAATGGATATTACACAAAGGTGACTTGTTGTTACTGACATTATTTAATATATGATAACTTTGTTCACTTTAAAGGTTTCCACCAGCTGCAGCTTCCTACATCCTTCAACAGTTCTCCCAATATGGCAACATTTTAAAACATGTGGTAAGTAGCAGTTATCTCCCTTCGTACTCTAACCTGACATTTGTACATATCTGACAATAACCCCATATTGGGTCATAATCCCACTCATATCTATTGCCTCTCTATAGAATTACAAATGTTTGTTCTGTGTTATTGCTAGTAAGCCTGCCCCTTAACAGGTGAATGGGTGATGTTGGTCCATTACATTATTGGAGAGCAAGTGAGTTTGAGAACATGTTGAGTCCATGGACTTATTGGATGGTAAGTAAGTGAGTTTTAGGATGTGTTGGGTTCATGGACTTACTGGAGGGTAAGTAAGTGAGTTTTAGGATATGTTGGGTTCATGGACTTATTGGAGGGCAAGTAAGTGAGTTTTAGGATGTGTTTAGTCCATGGACTTTATTGGAGGGCAAGTACATGAGTTTTAGGTTGTATTGGGTTCATGGACTTATTGGAGGTTAAGTAAGTGAGTTTGAGGATGTGTTGAGTCCATGGACTTATTTAGATGGTAAGTATATAAGTTTTAGGATGTGTTGGGTCTTGGGAGTAAGAACAATATTTCCTTTCTCATTTCTAGTGAAAATTTGGTCAAGCTAGTAAGTTACAACAGCTTCCATGTTTTATTGTAGGTAATATAATCAAATAGACACTTAACATGTCTGTACCCTAATATGAAAAGGTGAGAGGTCAGATGTTTGTACTTACAATATCCCCTGATCAACAAATGCCATTAATGTAGTTCTGAGATGGTGTCATCTGATTACTAATTAGATACTAAAATTACCAATTATCTTGTAGTTCTGTATCCTTCTGATCCTATGGATATGCTCAATGATAATTAACTATGAAGTGGCTTCAACAACTGTTATAAAACTGAGAAACGAAAGAGGGAGGAATGCCTTTGTTAACCCAAAAATCAATTTTTCTTCGAGATCTAATATTAAGATGGAAAACTTTGTAATCTTGACACAAAGTGCGGGGATATTTTCTCCCGGTCAGTAAAACTTTTAAATAGATATATTTTACAAACTGTATCCAGAGGATCCAGTTGAAAGAAGATTAAAGAAAATGATATAAATATATAATAATTTATACTAATTTGATAGTAGGATGAAAACTTATCGGATATCTATGAACAGATCAGTGTCATTGACATGGGTAATTGATAGGAAGGATTTTTAAGATTTTAAATGATAACAACTTATGAAACATTTCAGGTGGCATCAGAGGGTAATTGGATGCACCTACATTACCAGTCCAAACTACAGGCCAAGAAGGCACTGAGTAAGAATGGAAAGGTGTTTGGAGGATGTATGATGGTGGGTGCTACACCATGTATAGAAAAGGTAGATACTTATTTGGTAATTTGTATTCCAGACAGGATATTTTCTAGCTTTATTGGTCAATTACTTTTTGGATCTTCATGGAAAAATTATTTTCCAAATTTCATTCTCCAACAGCCATGTTTTTTGGAATAAAAATTTGTATCTTAGATTATGAGTATATTATCTATTTAAGAATATTTTATATATATTTATTGAAAAGCCATCTTCATAATTCTGTTGGAGGATTGTGATTATACAATTAGAATGATTAAATTGTGTCTGTTGTACATGTAGAATTACAGAATTTTAAACTTGTCACATTGTGGTTTGATTCTTTTCTATCTATTTAACTATGATGCAGTATATCATACAATGCTTTCATTCTTGTTTATCAGTATGTAGTCACTCCGTCCCTTGTTTATCAGTATGTGATCCCTGTCCCTTTTTTATCAGTTTGTGATCTATCTGTCCCTTGTTTATCAGTATGTTAACCCATGTCCCTTTTTTATCAGTATGTGATCCCTGTCCCTTTTTTATCAGTATGTGATCCCTGTCCCTTTTTTATCAGTATGTGATCCCTGTCCCTTTTTTATCAGTATGTGATCCCTGTCCCTTTTTTATCAGTATGTGATCCCTGTCCCTTTTTTATCAGTATGTACTCACTCCGTCCCTTGTTTATCAGTATGTGGTCCATCTGTCCCTTGTTTATCAGTATGTTGTCCATCTGTCCCTTGTTTATCAGTATGTGGTCCATCTGTCACTTGTTTATCAGTATGTGGTCCATCTGTCCCTTGTTTATCAGTATGTTGTCCATCTGTCCCTTGTTTATCAGTATGTTGTCCATCTGTCCCTTGTTTATCAGTGTGTTGTCCATCCGTCCCTTGTTTATCAGTATGTAGTCACTCCGTCCCTTGTTTATCAGTATGTGGTCCATCTGTCCCTTGTTTATCAGTATGTGGTCCATCTGTCCCTTGTTTATCAGTATGTTGTCCATCTGTCCCTTGTTTATCAGTATGTGGTCCATCTGTCCCTTGTTTATCAGTATGTTGTCCATCCGTCCCTTGTTTATCAGTATGTAGTCACTCCGTCCCTTGTTTATCAGTATGTGGTCCATCTGTCCCTTGTTTATCAGTATGTGATCCATCTGTCCCTTGTTTATCAGTATGTTGTCCATCCATCCCTTGTTTATCAGTATGTGGTCCATCTGTCCCTTGTTTATCAGTATGTTGTCCATCCGTCCCTTGTTTATCAGTATGTGGTCCATCTGTCCCTTGTTTATCAGTATGTTGTCCATCTGTCCCTTGTTTATCAGTATGTTGTCCATCTGTCCCTTGTTTATCAGTATGTTGTCCATCTGTCCCTTGTTTATCAGTATGTGGTCCATCCTTCCCTTGTTTATCAGTATGTGATCCATCCGTCCCTTGTTTATCAGTATGTAGTCACTCCGTCCCTTGTTTATCAGTATGTGGTCCATCTGTCCCTTGTTTATCAGTATGTGGTCCATCCGTCTTATTTATACGTTGTAACATCATGTATAACTATATATTGTCAATGTGTATAATTTACACTACATGCTGTTATGGTGATTAAATCTCCTCCCAGAGTGTCATGGAAGAAGAGAAGGAGAATACAAGTCTGATCCATCCTGTCCTCGGTACTCCAGGAGGCAACACTACGTTCCACACCCCTGGAGGTAACAGCCGCAATACCCCCATCAGGCCCCTCACTGCTGCTTACAGAACAGCTCGCAGTGAAAATGAGGTGAGTGCTCATTAGCCAATAATTCAAACATTTAATCAAATCTAGCAAAGTATAGTAAATTAAAATAAATGATTGGGATAGTATTTTGATGTTATCTCCCCATCTCTTGAACTTCCTTTTTGTAACTTATTGAAATAAACTATTTAAAAGATTGATTTAAAAAAAAAATTATGCAGTTTTCATTACATTAACATTACTGCTTCTTACATCTAGTCCTCTCTCTGGTTTAGGTGGTGATGAATGGTCAAGCTCCACAGAAGAACAATACATTTGTTTCCAAAGCGATGGAATATATGTTTGGATGGTGACCCATGCTGTGATTTTAGAGATTGATTTACAGAAGTTTTACAGACTTATTACTAATCTATATGTGAGAACGGTGATATTTTGACAATGATTGTCTGGTCTGTTGAAAAGAAAGCCACAGTGAGATGATGCTGGATCAGTGACTTGATACCGACTAAACTTAGATTCCAAGGCTTAATTAAGTTGTCTTTAAAAGTCCCAGTAACTAGGTTGTTACAGTGAGATGACTAGTCACTTCATGTTGTTTTTGTTCTGCATAAAGGTAGAGCTGGCAACTTAAACTCAAGCCCAGTAGCTCTGTTCACAAACAGAGCTGAGAATCTCAGACCCAGTAGCTCTGTTCACAAACAGAGCTGAGAATCTCAGACCCAGTAGCTCTGTTCTCATACAGTACTGAGAACTTCAAACCCAGTAGCTCTGTTCACAAACAGAGCTGAGAACCTCAAGCCCAGTTGCTCTGTTCACAAACAGAACTGAGAACCTCAAGCCCAGTAGCTCTGTTCTCATACAGAACTGAGAACCTCAAGCCCAGTAGCTCTGTTCTCATACAGAACTGAGAACCTCAAGCCCAGTAGCTCTGTTCTCATACAGTACTAAGAACTTCAAGCCCAGTAGCTCTGTTCACAAACTGTTGACAAAGTTCAGGCACAATAACATTTCTCACAAGGAGAACTGAGAAGCATCTGTGTACAGAGAAGTTCTTTGCCCAAGTAATTCTATACATGGACAAGCTCAGAATAATTTTTTGCCAGAATTTCACGAAATTGATCAAGCTGGAATTCAGATGTGGTTGGCATTGGGATGAGCATGACGTTTAAGGTACACTGAGCAGGCTTGATGATCCTCGGCAGTTTGGTGAGGATATAGGGATGAAATACCAGTCAGCTCCTTACCTTTTGGAATGTATATCCTAACACCACACACTTACACAGAACACAATAAAGATAGTTTCTATTTAAGGGTTATAGGGTCAAGGTCAGTGTTACTGTTTCTAGAAAATATTTGTCAGCACTTGTACAGCATCATTCTATGGGGATTTGGACCGAACTGTGTATTTGTTTAAAGAACTTCAATATCCTGGATGTGGTTGTATTTCAGGGTTATTTGCCATTATTACTAGTAATCTTAGAAAATCCTTGTCAGACATTTGTATTGTTTGCAATAGCTAAAATTAATTACTTTTAAGACTTTTTGGCAAGGTCTAAAACACTGTAGTTATGGTTACTAAGCCAGGAAAAGATCACTAGAAATTTCACCGAGACCTTGTACTTGGTAATAGTGATATATTTACCAGGGTATCAGGAAACATGTGGAAAGTTGGAGAGGAAGAAATGTGTAGATGTTATGTTGAGATGTCTGTTTTTACATCATTCATATTTATAAAATGCTGTGTGTTGATAAGTAAGATTAAATGTATCTATGTTTCTGTGATAGTGTGTTTGGAAGATTTATATACTGGGATTATGTGTTAAATCATGCCTGAGATACATCTAACATTTTTAAGAAGATTGAAAAGCTTATATTAAATATCTATGGAAGTTTTAGGTCAGATCCTGGTTGTACCTGATTTAGTGAACTTGTGTTTCTACTTTACAGACATAATTGATTGTAGTTCATTGTTATCCATGTCTGCTGTTGAAAACTAATGAATAATTATTGTACAAGAATGTTTTTATTTATAAAATGCCAACACAAAGTATTCTAGATTTAAGGAAGATTGATTTCAAACTAATTTTTTTACGCAATAGAAATTTGAGCCATGTAAAATTGAACAAAATGATAACTATCATATGAATATATACACAACTGTACGTCTAAAACTACTTAATTAGTTAAATGTGTTTTGTAGCAAATGAGGATTTTCCATGTGTTTGGCAAAAATTTGCAATAGAACCATATTATAAAGTAATTAACAAGGTCAAGGTTAAGCTGTGTGTAACATATGTACTATCTGGATTTCCAAGTTTTATAAGATAATCAACATTTACTAGTAAAAGGAGATCCTTGACCTTTTCTAGTTCAGGATTAGGTTCTCTTTTCAGAATCCTAGATAATACTAGACATGATAGTAAGGAACTATATATAAAGTCTGTCTGCAGGAACTATGATTGGCTAATTGATATCTAGGTCACATGCATAATTATTTCATTGCATGTTTATAATTTCGCTCTAAAAATCACCTGAGATGAATATACCTGTTTCAACGTTGCTGGTTCATCAACTATATGTTACATTTGTTCAACTTTAATAGTCATTCGATAAGAAATTAGACGAAGCATAATATTCAAGTTTGTGCTTGTAACATTTAAAACGAATTCATTAACACAATCTTATTGAACAATGAGGACAACTGGTATATATAATGTCATTATACTGTACTGTCTATACCTCATAGACCTATACTTTGAAATTATTTTACATGATTTGTTAAAAAAAGGTATTGTGTATAAATTGTATTTGTATATATACATGAAATAAAGGTTTTATTATTAACAGGAAGTCTTATTTTTAGTAAACCATCATCAATTGGTAGACTCTTTTTAACTACCTTTAGATTTTAAGCTATTCTTGGTATCCTGTAAACTTAAATATCTAAGCTGTAATTTATCTCACACTGAAAGATTTTTACTTAATTATGACTGCTTTGATTTCAGCTTCGGTATGATATTTATAGAACAATTATTGTACTCTAAAATTTACTTCGGCTAAATTAAGTACATTTAAGTTAATTATCGAGAACCGCTGAATCAATTTCTCACAAATCATCACTGTGTTTCCCTTGATCTCTTACTGTTATTTGTCATGAAATTGATTGGAAGAAGAAAAGATCTTCCATCAGCTATCAGGCAACCCTAAAGCCTTAATAATTATTATTTTCACATACAAATTCCCCCTTGTCTTTGGTTGTATACGTTAAGTCAACCGACTTTTCAAAAGTCGCAAATTAAACAGTTTTAATTTGAGACATTGCGACAAAGCAAGACAATTGACTGGCAGTTGTCCTTGATGTTGACAATAGAATATGCTGTGATGAACTAGTGTGGTTTGCTGGCACAATGGCAAGTCACTTTCACCTTGGAAATTGAACATAAGAAGTTATGGGCCCAACCTCATGGATTTTCAATGAGTACTTTGGTTTCCTTCCACAGTAACACCCCTTGTGTTCTTTTGTCTTGGCTGACGTGTAATTATCATAAATTACATATGTTTCACAATTGTAAAATACATTATCAAAATGAAATAGAACCATAGAGATCCTATGATAGTGCCATTGTCTTGTTGGCTTTATAGAGTTGTAATTTAGACTAATGACCTTGACTCTCAAGTGAAGGCACAGTTCTGAAAAATTACGTCATTTTAAACGTATATTTTTACGATTATCTCATTTGCTGTATCTAGTAGATTACTCCAAGTATCCAATGTTCAAGTAGTTGACTTCAGTGTGGTTTAAATGAGGTTTTAGATTTGTCTTTAGAAATACATGGAAAGGGGCTTGTGTCATAGTTTGGAATTCCTTATTACGTCAGGAACTATCAGATAAGTGATCATACACACTGAATACCATAATTATCTATCTATAGTATCAGCTATGTGTCACTGTGTACAACTAGCCTTACTATACAGACTTGTACTTTGGGACTGTTAGTGTGACCTGGATATATGAAGACTCCACTAATCCACCAAGCTGGAACATATTCAAACTCTACCATGCTTCACTAATCAATACTCCTTCTACATACAGTGACCCACTGCCTTCGGTTATAAACATTTCTCCATATTAGGTGAAGTCTTAAATTAGACAAGAAAGAAATATAACCACAGATGTTTTCCAATAACAAACCTTCAGGAATTGTGATTTGTTCCTTTGAAATGAACTTCTCAATTTGTAAAATGCAGTTGATTTTCTGAAGATTTCAGTAACTTTATAGGTGTTTTGATTTTTTTTTATTATTTTTATTATTATTATTATCTGTATGTATTTATAGTATTATCTCTTTTTCCAATTAATTTTTCTAATTTGTGTATTTTGCACTAGTAGTGAAAGTTATCTCCCTTCTTGCATAACTATTCCCTAATCCATTTTAAGGCGATGAATAGTGTACGTTGTTTGTCAGCACCCCAGTTTCAGATGAGCAACAAACTATCTAAGTAAAGTGTCAAATGTCATTAAAAATAGGTAGATATAGTGTGTATATGAATGGTTTTGTATGTAAAGTATCTCTACTGCTGTACCATTAATATAGATAAGTTTACAGACGAGAATTCGTCCTTTAATCCTCAGGAGTACTTAGTCCCCCTGCGGTGGGGCACAAAGAGACCACTGCGACATCCATGAATCACTCAATAATGTGAAAAGCTTTCATGGTTTATGCCTTTGAAGATTGTGACAATACACATAAAAACTTAGTATGTCCTATATAGGTCGAGGCTCACATTAAGATTCAGGCACATTTATATGGTTCCATATTTTTTCCTGTGTGTATGTTTGTATCATGTGATCAATCTTTTGCGTAGATATGAACTTCATAATCCATGAATCATCAGGTTAATTAGCCTCAGCGGATTATGATGTTGGAACGACCACACATGTTGACACACATAAAACAGACCCTCCAGGCAGGTTATTGCTTTGTAGAATTAACCTGTATCATTGGTCAACCTGTCTATATCAGACCTTCAGTTTCACTTCAATGTATTCATATCTACATATAGAGAACTTGAGTTGTCTGTAAACTATTTTGACCAATCTATCTCTTTGGTACATGGTTATGGAAGGGAAGGGATGCATTGTAATACAAATCCGAAAAACTCATCACAGTAAACAATACAATACTTGGTAAAACATTGTAATACCAGGTTAAGCAATGTAATACCTGGTAAAACATTGTAATACCAGGTTAAACAATGTAATACCTGGTAAAACATTGTAATACCAGGTTAAACAATGTAATACCTGGTAAAACATTGTAATACCAGGTTAAACAATGTAATACCTGGTAAAACATTGTAATACCAGGTTAAACAATGTAATATATGGTAAAACATTGTAATACCAGGTTAAACAATGTAATACCTGGTAAAACATTGTAATACCAGGTTAAACAATGTAATACCTGGTAAAACATAGTATTACCAGGTTAAACAATGTAATACCTGGTAAAACAATGTAGTACCATGTTAAACATAAAACAATGTTGTAGAATTATTAAAATAACAACAAACAAAGAGAGTAACATTAAGTATTGTTTTATATAAATACAAATTATTTTTATATATCGTAGGAACAAATATATAATGTCAACATAAACTGAATAAAAAATAATGTGTGTTATGACAGGGTAGGAAGGAATTTTCCATCAGTATGAGGAATGTTGATGGATGCTATGTAAATATATACTTCACAGAATTTTGCACATCTACATGAAGATTCATAGAATCTATAGGTCCTTTTTCCTAGTTTTATGATCAATTTTTACAATTACAAGTCCACTTTTCAATGTCATCATGATTTAAAGGAAGCCCAATGGTAAGATGAAGTCTGATTAATCTATTAAGTACTTGGTGCTCTTTGTTCAAATCAATCTACTTCACACCAACAGAAACAAGTACATGTAAATATGTTTCAGATTAACATGCCAAGTAAATGTAAAAAGCAGATTTATATCAGCTTCAGTCAGATTTCAGCAATTTTGGATTTTGATTTTCTTAACTGACATTTTGTGTTGATACTCTTTTGAATATGTTGGATATGTTTCATATTGAACTAGATAGACCTGATGTTAATGAAACTTCAGAAAGATTCCCTTCATTGCTTTAAAGTTGTTTGTGAAATCTCCTTCTAGAATCCAACAGCATTCTTCGATATCTGAAAGTTGTTTTACCTCAGTAATATTAACTGAACAATCAACTTTATATGTAAGTGCAGCTTCTGGTGTACGAGGGAAAATCTCACAGTGTTGTCAATGCTATAACATTAGATCAACCAAATACATTCCAAATCTTGGTAAACATTTTTGTTTTTTTTTTTGTTAAAGTTTCTGATACTAAAGGAATACAATGATCAAAACACTCTGTGACACATTTTCAAGAAGTTGTCTGCATATTTCATCTCATTTTCAGATCTTATCACTTTAAAGAATATTTGGAAGTTCTCACTAAATATTGCGCAGATGTAAAATCTTACAACACCATTTAGCAGAGATATTTTCCTAACCCATAGATTCCTATCTAAAACTCACCTCCCACTATTGAACATGACACACCCACTTAAACCATAACTGGTCAATAGCTAGCTAGACTGGTATATCAACAATTAATATCATTTGCACAGAATATATATCACAGATTTTCATAATTTGAGATTATGTCTTTTTTATACAACAAAATTCACATTATGTTTAAGTAAATTTAGGGAAAATATACAAAAGTGGAAGCTTTGTGATGCAATTATGTTGTAATTGTGGACCATAAAATGTACATCACATACTTGGTAGATTTACATTGTAAATAAACACTTCAAAGAACAATTACAATGTAAACAAAAACACCAGAAGGCCATTTAGTTTTAAAACCTGATTTTCATGTTTGAAAATAATATATTGGCATTAATTTTCAACAAAGCTCAGGTAGTATCTATATGTATGATGACTAAAGGTTTTTCCCTTACGAAAGATTTAAGTTAATTTAGGTCACCAAGCTGGTACATGGAAATTTTTGTAGATTTCCTAGTTTTTGACCAGTTAGGCAAGAACTTGATGGGACTTACTTGATGTGCCATAAAAATTTAAGAGATAAAAACCATTTTCTGCCCAAAATATTTGTTAATGATAGACTGTTATCTGTACCAGTCTGTACGATAGGATTTACCACTGTTATTATTAGTTTAAACTCTTTGGTCTTAATTACTACTGCATCCTGCAATAAGGGGCTAATAAAGGGTAACTTAAAGTCAGGGGGTGGGCTTATTTGCAGGACAATAAAAAGTTATTTGTTTGTAATTCTAGACATGGACTTTTTGTGGGATGTATATTGTAATATCCCCAACAACATACACAAAAATATCAAAATATTCAAGTTCTTAGAATTCAATAGATACCATAGAGAACAAGTAGGTCAGATTACCTCACTGTAACAGAAATTAATGTTTTTCTGACAGATAAGCAAAAAAACAGACATATTAAGTAACTTTCATCAATTCCGATTTCTTTGATAAAATAAATTCAGTTAAATATTCCTCCTAAGAAATGTCCTTTTTTTCTTGGCAAAATCTAGTTTTTCATTTTAAGGTGTATTTCATTTTCAAAAGTTGTATTTATTTACAAGAAATGATGAACGTGTTAATATCTTAATGAAAAATAGTTAATGTATCTGCTTCTTCCAGTGTTGAAAACTCTCTAAAATTCTCACAACCATATTGAGGCTAGTGGGAACATTATAAATGGTATCTATAGAATGAAAGTAATGTTTCGAAAATTTAAGAACAATGAATTTGAAATTCCAATAAAGACCACAAAAAAACCATGTTGCCATTGTCAAAAAGTTCATAATATTGACAAGGCTTTACCTAGTCTGTCACTAACTATACTGAATATGATAGAGTTAAATAATTCATGTAAAAAAATAATTACTTGTTATGATGATAAATCATAAATCTAGTCTAAATAAACGTGTGATAAATTATGAGCAATACAAATTAAATGATATTGCAACATTGTGATGAAATGAATTATCATTCGTACTCATCACTGAGGGTGAGTAATGAAGTTATACATTGAACATCTGATTTTCTCTATAAATGACCATACAATTCCACTATCTATTCCAGTGACCTCTTATCACCTGTATATTTCGAGTATTTATCATAATTATATTTTTACAACTTTTCATTAACAGTACTCTTGCAAGTAAACAAAAAATATGAGGCTGCACATTTGTAAATAATCAATGAATAAAGGCTATTTACGACGTATTTACACAAAATGTTTGCTGGCATACAAAACTGATTGTTATATACACATCTGACCATGATGATATTAACGTTTTGACATTATGTGGCATAAATACAGCACTTCTAAACAGCTTAACAGAAGTTTTTTTTCCCACCAAACTTCCTGTGTGAAACCAAATATTCAATGCAATATGAGAATTGAAATGATAGATCTTTGTTAAACTCGAAGTTTTTGTCCCAAAAATAATAACTGTACTATTTTTGAACTTCATTCATTTGTAATGTATTGTCTGTAATCTCTTACACCACATACAGCTGTGATTTTACTGTCCATTTCATAACAATAGCCTTCCAGAATATCAACCATCTCTCTTACATACAAGTTCAACTTCCACTATTTAAGGAAAAACAGAAACAAAAAACAAAACAAAATCTTGCCACTAGTAAGTAAACTTATAGACAGGGTGAGTGTTTTACATCACTCAAAAAATATTTGTCTCTTGCACTCAAAAGTTAAATTCTCTCTGCTCCACTGAAAACAGGTATTTCATTCCTTACATTAAGTACATTTCTGTGAAAACACTTATGAACACAGCCAAGTGGATGTCAACATTTTTCTTGACTCGAAACATCCTCAACACTTCAAATCTTTGAAATTATTTCAAACATCACCGATGCACTTCCTTCTAGTTCTGTAAACATCAGCTTTACACCAGAATCAACACTACACAAGCGGTCCATACAATACATGGTATTTTTAATGTTTCCATTCTGTAACACTAAACATGCGGAATGATTTGAAATCTCCCCGCCTTGAACAGCATCCCTAACCGCTCCAAAGGTCTAGAACTTATCCATGTCCTGACACTTTTATGTATTTCATAAAATCATTTCTGATTTCAGTACATGGACATTACTCAATGACTTGTATGTTGTGGATCCTTACTGTTAGAATCCTCCGTGGGGTATTTTTGGTCTATTACTTGGAGTTATTTCCCCTGAACAGGTCAACATTTTGTGGCCCTCTGAATAATGCGTCGTGGTCAGTTTGTGACTAGGTCTGTTTTTAAACACTAGCAGGTCATTCTGCTGACCACTAGGGTTTTCCACAGGCACTGACCACCCCTGGTCACTTCGAGCTTGGGAGGGTCGTGAATGGTCAGTCTATGTACAGTGGATATAATAAAGATATTGATCACCTCTCCGCACTTGTCTCACTGCCTGGATGAGAACTACAAGAAATGAAACAAAGATGAAGGGAAATGTGAAATGAAGCACATAAAAAATTGTCTAGTACAGCATTCAATATTTCACATATTTGCTACCCATTTTCTGTAACCTAGAATTTCTATTAATAAACATCTGTTACAGTGTAAATTGTATATGCAAATTTACAGTGAAATTTTAACTGACACTAACCAAACATTTATAAAGAAAATTTCAATTATAGAATAGATAGTAAGGCTTAGAATTAGACAAAGGATCTTTGTTACAACATAAAAACAGCTATTTCTTTTGCAGTAAAATAAAAGTTACTAATAAAATTTGATACTTACAGAACAGAATATTTTTTTTTTTACTCCTAAATATTTAGTTTTTCCTCTTTTTTTTTTTTATTTCTTAAAGTCTATTGACACGTTTAGTAAATATGATTTATAGGAAGGGTTAAAATTAACCACACCACACCTGAGTGATTTGTGAACAATCTATTAAATACAAGACCATAGGACATATTATAACTCATACCATATCCAGGAAGATAAACTAGTTTTTGGACGGTTGAAAAACTTCAATATCAATTGAAAATTATCTTGTACAACACTTTGACAAAAAAAAAACTCTTTTCAAAATATCTCAGACATCTGCTTTGTTGACATGTGACGGGCGTGGATATTACTCAATCTGAAATACCAATAGCGAGTTAGTGTAGGAAGATCTTATTCAAAACAAGTAGGGAGTCGCTGTAAGGAGACCTTACTGAGAACTAGTAGGGAGTCGGTGTGAGCTAGGAGACGGGCCAAAGTATTTAGGAGTAGCTGAAACAGTATCTCACAGAACACCAAACAGCTTCTGATATCACTCTATTGGATTCTATACAACAATTATAGAAAGATATATGGTCACACACAGGTAGACTAACAAGTTTTCCTGAACCACATAAATAAACATATGTTGTATTTATAGATGCATTGAATTAGGAATTTGCAAAAATACATTACCGTATTCAGTGTGGCAAATTGTATGTATAAAAATAAATATTAAGTTTCTTTTTAAATGACACTTGATAATGTATTAGATCACTGCAGCTAGGAAAGCTTTTGTAGACAGGTTTTACCCAGGAATTTTATCAGGTGCAATTTTACACTCTGTTCTATAATGCTACTCCTGACAACAACGAAAAAATATATATTGAGAATGTGTAAAATTTTATATTAAATTTGGAAATTGAGCTTGCTGCTAAGATTATTATCTTTACAGTCTTATGTGAACAATAAAACTGAGTTCAAACTGTACATTCAATTACTTATTTGTAGGTATAAACACCCCATACTTTTCAAAAACCATGAAAAGAAGACAGAAATCAGCCACAAATATATTCAGAGTTTACAACTGGCTTACAATAAACCTACCTAGTAGTTACATGACTATTTCTTATTGAAATCATATGTAATAATAGTTCCAATGACTTCTAATTGATAAAAGCATTCTTTGTAGACTATCATTATGCTAACAAGTCAATGGATGTGGAAACGGAAGTGAACAAAGTCATTGAATGTTTGACGTAAGTACATATCCCTGCCAGGAGGTAAATAGGGGTTAATGCTGACGTACATATATTTATCAACTTTAAGGTATAATAACTTTTGGGAAATGTGTGCCAGACACCCACAGATGAAAAGTAGTTCATACTATAACTCTAGGGCAATGTGAATATGGTATACATTAATTCCTCAAAGCACCTTAGGGTTATAATTTCTTTTATTTTCCCAAACATTAAATTCTCTATTTGAATAATTTGCATTTGTTTCTTCTTTCAAAAAAAAAAAAAAATATAACTTATTTGGCACACTGTATTAACCATATATCAAAAATATATATCTATCAATTAATTATATCCATGCCAAGCAGTTGTACTTAAATCTGACAACTGTTGATGAAATATCTGAAATCAAGTAGAATCTATTAAGTATGGACCGATTTTTCAGACTGTTTATTGGTCAAGCTGACCAATCCTAATAATCCCGGACAGCTGCCAACCAAAATGATTGTATTTCACCAGGTACAGAATTTAAAAGCACCCTTTACCCTTTCACCCCGACAATACACAATTAACTTAATGCTCTAGTGTGTATTTCAGTTTTTGCCATTCCCTCTTTTTGACAAGGTTCAAATTTCAGACTCAACAAAACTATCAGTACGTCTGATCAGGAAGGATGTCGTGAGGTAAATACTAACATGGAGATTAATATGTAATTTTGTAAAGTAAATGGAGTGTCCATTTAAACCTAACGCTTGCTATTTAAACCTGCTCTTCTGTCCTAAACTCAAAGCATTCTGAGGTAGCTGACAAGCAATACACCTTATTGTGTGAAAGTTATGCATACATGTTTTATAAAAAAAAAAAAAAAAAATTAAAGCTATTTGATTTGTTTGAGGGGAAGCTTCAGACAATCTAATTTCTATATAAGTAAAATAGTAGGTAGACTCTAACTGAAAACAAGGTCGATATTTACTGTTCTTCTATCTACTTTTTGTTTGGCGTTCATTTGGCCATCTTAATCCTGTTTTATACTGTATGTTGGATATTACACATATATCCAGGTTAGGACAATGGTCAGTAGTCTTGTCAATCTTACACTTACTGGTTAGGACAATGGTCAGTAGTCTTGTCAATGTTACACTTACTGGTTTGGACAATGGTCAGTAGTCTTGTCAATGTTACACTTCCTGGTTAGGACAATGGCCAGTAGTCTTGTCAATGTCACACTTACTGGTTTGGACAATGGTCAGTAGTCTTGTCAATGTTACACTTCCTGGTTAGGACAATGGCCAGTAGTCTTGTCAATCTCACACTTACTGGTTTGGACAATGGTCAGTAGTCTTGTCAATCTTACACTTACTGGTTAGGACAATGGTCAGTAGTCTTGTCAATGTCACACTTACTGGTTTGGACAATGGTCAGTAGTCTTGTCAATCTTACACTTCCTGGTTAGGACAATGGTCAGTAGTCTTGTCAATCTTACACTTACTGGGTTAGGACAATGGTCAGTAGTCTCGTCAATCTCACACTTATAGGTTTGGACAATGGTCAGTAGTCTCGTCAATCTCACACTTAGTGGCTAGGACAATAGTCAGTAGTCTTGTCAATCTTACACTTACTGGTTAGGACAATGGTCAGTAGTCTTGTCAATCTTACACTTACTGGGTTAGGACAATGGTCAGTAGTCTTGTCAATCTTACACTTACTGGGTTAGGACAATGGTCAGTAGTCTTGTCAATCTTACACTTACTGGGTTAGGACAATGGTCAGTAGTCTTGTCAATCTTACACTTACTGGGTTAGGACAATGGTCAGTAGTCTTGTCAAACTTACACTTACTGGTTAGGACAATGGTCAGTAGTCTTGTCAATCTTACACTTACTGGGTTAGGACAATGGTCAATATTGTCAATATTACACTTACTGGGTTAGGACAATGGTCAGTAGTCTCGTCAATCTTACACTTACTGGGTTAGGACAATGGTCAGTAGTCTTGTCAAACTTACACATACTGGTTAGGACAATGGTCAGTAGTCTTGTCAATCTTACACTTACTGGGTTAGGACAATGGTCAGCAGTCTTGTCAAACTTACACTTACTGGTTAGGACAATGGTCAGTAGTCTTGTCAATCTTACACTTTCTGGGTTAGGACAATGGTCAGTAGTCTTGTCAATCTTACACTTACTGGGTTAGGACAATGGTCAGTAGTCTTGTCAATCTCACACTTACTGGTTAGGACAATGGTCAGTAGTCTTGTCAATCTTACACTTCCTGGTTTGGACAATGGTCAGGTTCTTTCAATCTTATACTTACTGGTTTGGACAATGGTCAGTAGTCGTTTTTTATTTTACACAGCCTTGTTTTTTTATTCCACACTTAAATGTCTGGACAAATGTTGAAGCCCTATGTATAATAATTTACTCTCAGGACTGTGATAAGGACCGTTTTAGTTATATATATATTTATATATGTATTGATTGCACTGAGGAGCAGCTAAGCTGCGAAAACGTTATGCAAAATGATAACTTTTTCTTGTGTGTTTTTTTAACAATTTTCTATATATTATCACTTGCGTATCGTCAGTAACTATATTGTCAGCTTATGCTTTACTTATCAGAAGTGTTTCCAATCTTATTACATTACTGTATATGTATATACTGTTTACTGTTAAAACTTTTTCACACGCCCCTAATAAATGGTGCAGAGTCATAGGATAATGTTATGGTTTCAAGGTCATACTCATAGTACACAAAAAACTTCTTCTCTGAAGATCAAGCTACTATCTGTCTGTTGTGAAAAAGTCTTTGTTTTTCTGATCATAAGGACATCTGTTTGTAATTCCTAACATTTCAACAATCACACCATACAAGGGAGGAAATGACCCGAATCTCACACTGTATATAAATAACACAATGTTCTCTTGGTTTCCGGTGAAACTCAAAAGATTAATGTCATCTTTTCAGGCTGAATCGTACAGTCTTTGTTGTGGAATGATAATAATTTTGAAGGAATTGACTTCAAGAAATGTGAAACTTTTCAAAAGTGTATTATGAGAATACGATATATCTTCAGATGGTATTACATGTTCTGGGAGAAGACCTGGTTTATTTATGTTTTTTTGTACCTGTAATTGTGTTACATGTTAAGATATTTGTAGATATCATATTCTGTTTTAGGGAGATGTAGTGTACACAAGGATGTCACGCATACCTGACAGAGGAAAAGCTTGTTTGTCTGTTAACACCTCGTTGCTTTTGGGATCCACTAACAGAGATCTTAGTCCGATGGCCCCCATCCTCATCAAAACCATTGATAATTCTGGGGATAACATTGGTTGTTGTGACACCTGCCGAGGCCAAGGCAGCATTCTGTGGTGACAGACCGTCAGACATATCTGATTCATCATCATTCACCATAATGTTTGTTCTAATCTGACCACCACTGTGTGTGGACACTCGCGGCCCACTGACTGTCACAGAATTTGCACTGACTGTCCCGTCGCCAGAGGATTGCACTATTTGTGGGGTGGGTACAACAGTAGCCTTAGAGGCAGGCTGTTTGGTTGGTCCCATCCAGTTATTGAACACCTGATTTCTGTCACTATCTAAGTATTCCTGAGAAGATGTTTTGAAATATTTGGCACTGTCCTGATGACCAAGCATATGAAGAAGACCACCACCCTGCATTCTATCAAATCCATTCTGATTAGTCAGATTAACACTATTTAACATGAAGGCGTACTGTTGCTGTGGGTTTGGTGCAGACCCCTGCATGCTCATCATTCTCATGTACTGCGAAAAGTCTTCCAGGGACATGTTAGGCACACCTGAATACATAGGGGCAGAGAACACTGGCTGCGAGCCGAATGGCATGTTGTAGCCTGACTGTGGGAGGTTTGTCTGGGACAAGAGCTGGGAATAGTCCACAGAAGCGTTGTATCCCTGCTGGAAGCCGGCTGGAGGGGGAAGAGGTGGGGCAGAAAGGATCCCCATTTGTTGTTGTTGTAATAACTGTTGCTGTATTTGAGCTTGTGTCTCAAGCCTTTGGAGTCGTTCTCGAGCCTCCATTTCACGTACTCTTTCCATTTCCTTCTCCTTTGCTTCTCCCTTGAGTCTTTCTTCCTCTCTCTTTTCCTCCTCCCTTTTCACCTCCTCATTCAAGATCTCCTCCCTCTTTAACCGTTCCTTTTTACGCACTGTGTCATCAAATGTGAACTTCTTCTTTTTCTGGTAAATCTTGGGTGCATGACCTTCAAATTCAACAGCATTCTTCCTATCCTTTCCAGTTGGCACATTCTCATATTCTGGAAGGACGACAATCTGACCTTTCTTACCAATATAAGCAACACCAGCTCGCTTCATTTGATGGATCTCTTCCTTTTCACTATCCTCATCTTCATCTGTTTCATCATCCTCAGGACCGAAATTTACATGCATCTTTCCATAGTCCTCATCCGAGGAATCAGAGTTATGATCACTGAAGCCATGAGGTACCATGTATTTCAATGCCTGCTCTGACTCAAAGTTCTGATTCATGGCTTGAGGAGCTGATACAGAACTCCTGAGTTTCCAGTTTGGTGGAGGTGGTGGTTCATTGACGACCTCCAAATCTTCAGATTTTTGCCTATTAAGAATCTTGCCCCCTGCTTTGCTGATGGATCCGAATGCATTCCTGACACTTTTATGAACTGTTTTTTTGAATCTCTTGATACTATCGTACTTCCTCCTTTCATCAGTCCCCATATCTGAGTTTCGCTTTGTGTATTTATTTTCTTTACTCTTGCCCTTCTTTTCTTTATATTTGAGGTCATTGACCTTGTTTGGTACTATAGTTGACTTAAAGCCCTGAACCTGACCACGTGATGTCACCATCTGATCCTTATCAGACAAGTTGTCATCTGAATCTAAATCATCTTCCGGTGTCCAGTCTTCCCGAGTGTATATACTAGAGTTTCGAACATCATTTATCTCCCCTTCCTTCTCTTCCCCAGATTCAGATTCTTGGAGACGCTGTTTGGAATTATTCGGAAGAGAACCAGTATTTTCAGCAGCTTTGCTTTGCTTTTTCTTGGACTTTTTCTCAAATCTTTTCTTGGGGTACTCATTTGTATTCAAGTCAAGTGTGATGACCTCCTTTGGTTTTTCTACACGACTGGCGTCTGCTTTCTTTGCCGCTGGTTTGTCAGATATTTCAGTGGTATTTTCTTTCTCCACTACTCTACCTGTTACTGGCACATTGTTTTCTTCCTCCCGCTTTTTCTTCATCAATTCATCAATACTCATCTCTGTCTTGCTCCTCTGTTCTCGGTCAGAGGCAGCCTTAGCTAGCTGCTCTCTGAACACCTCTGAAGGATCTTTTGGCTTTTCTTTCACTTTTGTAGATTTCTTGACAATTTTAGTTGCCTTTGCCTGTGCAGCAATCTTAATGTCATGTTGTAGCAGGGAGCTCAGGCGTCGCATTGCACTGTCCGCAGAACTTGAAGATGACGTTGTGGATGGCTTCCTTTCCAATGTGGATGTCCCTTGTTTGGAAGGTGAAGAACTAACTACTGAGGGAGGAGGAGGAGGAACCTTTGACACCTCCTCAACAGCATCTTGCTTCTGCAGAGGAGGTTTAATGTTTTTGGAATCGGTAGCACCAGTCAATTTCTCCTCGGGTAATTTTTCCTTCTCTTCTGTGATCTCTTTCTTCTCTGAAGCTTTCTGCTTCATTATCTCTTCCTCTGCCAACCTCTTCTTTTCTTGTTCTTCAGCTTCCCGTTGCTTTTCTTTTTCTTGTTCCTCTGATATTTGTCGTCTTGCGGCTTTCTTCTCTGCCAGTCTCTGAATCTCCAGCAGCAGAGGGTCCTCCTGTCTTATTGGGGCCACAATTGGGGGAACTCTTTGACTGTTTGTTCGAGATGGCGGCTTTCTCTCCTTTATTTGTTTATCATTGTACTCTACACCATCATTGTGAACCTCATCTGCATACTCAACACCGTTTGACTTCGACTTTGAGTATGACTTGCTGGTTTTGAGAATACCCTGAAGAGGAGGTGGGGGAGGAGGAATGGACACATCTTCCATATCATAGTCCACTGGAGGTTCATAATGTGCTGAATAACCACGTTTGTGAATGGGAGGGGGATGTACCGGTCGCTGTGGTGCCTGTTGGGACATTGATCGGATGGGTCCTCGGGGAGTTGAAGGAGCAGATTTTGACGTTACAGGAACAGGAGGAGCAGGAGGGGCAGGAGGGCGATTGACAGGAGGAGCTGGTGCTCGTTGCTTTTTCTTTCGTCCATCCAGAGCATCCATACTCTTTGTGGACTTCGTAGAATTGGACCGAACTAGATTTGTAACAGGTCGACTGGTGTGCTCAGACAGATCATTACTGAGATCCTCTATCCTTCGACCAGTCTTCTGTTCTATCATTGAGAGAGTCTTATTGCGCCTGGCCTCTGCCAACTGAGCGTAGGTCATGTTTAACGATGAGTCCATCTCAAACGTACTCCTGACTGGAATAGACACCTGAGGACAGGATGTAGACATAGAATCCAACTTGCCACGCAATTCTAAGCTTTCCTTTGGGTCTTCTTCAATCGTGTTCTCTCTGCTGTAAAGACTAGAGGTAGCAGACTGTTGACGCCGATGAACTTTGTACTTCCTTGATGGGTCAAACGACACACTTGGTGTTCGCCCAGATGAACTACTGTCACTAGCCACACTTCCTGTTTCAGAATGTGCCACTTTTCCATTAGGAATACTGCCATTACTGTGTGGTATTTTCCCATTACTTAGTCCATTTTCTATCTCGTGATGAGTTTCCAGGCTATCACTGTCATCATTATCATCATTGTTGACATCATATGCGTAGATATCTTTGTAGTTGGGAATGATTTTACTCATTTCCTGAGATACTGGGCGTAGCTGATGCTTTGTGGGTAAAACTGCTGGAAGCACCTTGTTGACAGGGTTGTTGTAACTGGGTCCTTTGGGACCAAGGTCACTGATAGGTCGAGCACTAGGTGGAGCTGAAGGTCTCGTAGGAGGCCTCCGCACCACTGGCTCCCTACTAGCCGTCTGAGACTGTTGTTGGCCCATCTTAGCACCTCAAGTCTGAAACATATACAAACAAATATTAAATACTTATCATTTTTGATAAGATCACAATACAGACATAATCAATGTTATTTTTCTACTACATTAATGTACAAGATAAGCTGCCACATAGGTGTGTAATCAATCTAAGTAAGAATTAACGATATTTTGTGATATATCTATACTCACAATTATGTTGTGATTAATTGTCCTGATGTTCTGACAAAATAAAACAACACAAAGCGTGACATTATCCCCCACGCCCCACTGAAAGACACACAATCACATGTATGTTCATATTACAAGTTTAATTTCTATTTATTATTTTTAATGGTTTTGAAGTTGAAGCCTAAAAAGGAAAGTTTACACTAATTTTGTGTTTTTTGACTATGCTTCCATGGCAACGGAAAAAATATGAAGAAATTAAATGTTGTCAATAGCGAAAGGCACAAATAGGGCACTAACTTATTATATACAAAGACTTTTGTGGAGTTCAGTGGAACAGTTTTTAAGTTGAAGCCCTTAAAAGGAAATTAACCCTAATTTATATTTTTGACAATGTTTCCATGGTAGCACCAAAAATAAAATGAGTTAAACAGTTTTGAAGTTATCGCCCGGAAAGCCCTAAGACGGATGCACAGACGGAACGATCCCAAATTAATATCCCTCGCAAATGTGTTTTAAAGGGGAAGACAAGGAAGGCTAAGTCAGATACAGCATAGATACTAATCTTTATGCATGTTTTATTTCAGTTTTCTTTTTTAAAATACATTTGTGTAAGAATTCAGTAAAGTTGAGAGATTTACAATCACTTGAAATCTGAGGTTTAAACATTGACTGAATACAAATGCATAAAAAAATTGAAAAAATAAAAAAAGATTTGAGTACAATGAAAGACAAAGATAAAATTAGACAGTAAAGATAACAACAAACAGTATTCAGTGTGACCATGGGAAAGATGGAGACCCTCAAACCTTGTTTCCTCAGTTCAAGTATTTATGTCAATTTTAACTCTGTCACGCCAAATTTAACAAAGAAATCTACATGAATTGAGTCCAAAAACAAAGGCATGTCAGTGTGCATGTCAATCCAACCTTTTTAGGAGGATCCCAGGTGTCTGAAGTGAAACTGTCTATTCATCATGTAAATAGCTGTGAGAAAAGTAAAATCACAGATGAATGTCACCAATCACAACTGTCAGAATACTCACATATCAACAAGAGTCAATTTTCATACTCAAAATAAATATGAATTACCTACAAAATGAATTTCTACATTGAGCTCCAGTGAAAATTAAAAACAGTCATTGTGAAATCAGCAATTAATGGAGCACTATTTCTTCCTTCTAGAAAGATGGATTCCCTCCCTAAATTCAGTTCTATATGTATCATTTTAAAATAGCAATTATTTTGTTTTGTCATACAAATTTCAACAAAAAAACAAAAATTCTTAGCAATATGAATGTAGATAATAATGAGAAAGCTAAAGTTACATAAATAAAAAGTATTTGTATTTATACACATTCATAGTAAGTATCACACTTTAATATGTAATTAAAATGCCTAAATATCTTAAACTTTTACCTGTAATATCTGTTTATGAATGCAAATAATAATAATTCATCAATTTTAATTGCATGTTCAGTCATTCAGTCCCAGTTGTTAAACTCTTCAGCATCACAATTATTTTTTTTTATCCAATTTCCAATACTAATAACAACCTGTTCTGAAATTTTCATTATACATGAAACTGTCAGTAGCTATAGAAATCGTAACTTCAATAGAAAAGCTCAATCAAGATCTTCATGTCTAGACATTGAGGATAGTGTTTGAGTGTATGCTCAGAGGAATTGCACCACCTCTCGAGTAAAGAAACAGCAATGTGTTATTTCTTTTTAAATGAAGTTACGTTATAAATTTGAGAGTAGTTTCATTAAAATTGTATTTGCCTGTTCCTTATTATTATGACAGATTGAACACAGGCTATCTAATTGTCAAGACTAAATACTAATGGTCTGAAGTGGTGAATCTGATATGATGTTATTCAATTTCAGTGTTCTGACACATATAGGCTAACTTTAGTCAAATGAAGTTGTTCCTGAGCTGAAACCTCTGTGACAGGGCAAACATGAATACTTTGTCCCTGTGTGGTGACTGAAGTGCCTGGTAGTCTACCATACCTTAATTCATCAGTATCAGCTTTAGGTTTTGAAAGCTTCTCATTATTTCCTATCACATCAAACATCTGAAAGATCTGATTTACAAAGATTAGTGTCCGTACCCATTCTCCACAACACCCATTAAATGTTGTTATATCTCATCTCCCTTAGACCTTACATTAGTTTATATGCTAAGGTTGTACAAAAACATCCTGTTTCTATCTCAATTACATCCCAATAATACAAAATATTTAAATGCAATCTATAGAAGGAATTTTACAGATCCTACCATTGTCAGGTGGATAGGCCAGTCTAGCATTAGGAGAAAACAGAATAAAACCAAATCACCAAAACTGAGATCTCCAACTCTACATAAAGAAGCTGCGGCTCAACAGGTTTTCATGATTAACAAACCGAGGTGTGCTGTTTCATTTTGTCATTAGCCGACTTGATGCCTTCATAATAATATTGAAAAATCCAAATTACTACAGAAACATCAACTGATTGAGGATAGGTTTGACAGCACTGCAATTCAGATCTGTGGCTCAGTGTACTAAAGTCAAATTTCAACCCCCACCCTCTCCCATTTTTTTTTATCCAAATACAATTATCTCCACACAGACGTCATTTAAACCCTGGTAAATTATTAAATAATTCTTTGTACAAAGGATTCCATTCAGAATAGAAGGTTAACAGAAATTTTCAATAAAATCTATATACAGACTGTTATTGATAAATGGGTGTATAGTAGTGTGTTTTCACATTTATCAATGGCCTCTTGAAACAGTATTAGGTTGAGTCTCGGCGATCTGAGATCATTCTGGTGAAAATGTCAGCACCTATATCTTTGTACAAATCAACTGCTTCATTTTTTTTCCCTTCAATCAAGATTTCATTTTGCAATATGTCAATTTCAGATTTGATTTAGTGTACTGTAAAGTCAAAGTTCTTGAAATCAAATGCATATAGGTCTGTTTTTTATCAAATTACCACATGGATGGCATAATATCTATTAGATTACTTAAGCAGAATAATTTTCTCACCCTGAATAAGATATATATTCCTTGACTGTTGAAAATTGCTTATTGTTCCTGTGCTTAAATCACGAATTGTCTTCGAATTTGGTACCTGAATGTTATGACAAATGAGGTTCCAATGTTGTTTGAAAGCTGAGTGCATTGACATTGAAATGTAAAGATAGTGTCCTCAGCTAGAGAAAATACCCAAATATCACACAAGAAGAATTACTTTTTTGTTTAAAGAGCTTACTTTGATTTGTATGCACTGACATCTCGTTATCACACCTGGTAGTGACACAACTCTACAAGTCTTATGATAGAAATCATGTGATAGAACTATTTCAGAATTCTGATTTACAGCTTTAAAATTTTAACAGTAACTACTGACTTGTCAAATTCAGAGTTTTACAAGTAATTTAACACCAGAGTTTGTCCTAGGAGGACAAATGCTGAAGTTTAGCCCCGAGTTTTAAACCATTTTTTTACCTATTTAAAGTGGCTGACAAGTACGGCATTAACAAATTTCATTGCATGAAAACAAACAATCAATTATCAAGTTTTCATGAGGCGATACCTGAATCACAGCTTATCTCTTCTTTCTATTTCTGGCATTTTCAATTGCTTTTAAACAAGAAAAATCTCAACTAAAAAAAAATTTGACGTGTCAAAACAAAATTACATACCTTATTTTTTATTTGTACACAGGATGGGGTTATTTGAGTTCTATTTTAACACTCAGTTCTTCCACTGGCCCACTAACTTTCTAAACAGGGGCGGTATAACTTCATCATGGTAACATAACCCTTAATAGAGAAGACTTCTCTATTCACTACACCTATAAGTACAGTAAGCTTTAAATCAAAACTAACAATAATTATCTAACTTGGTAACATTTACTCTTTAACATGAAGACATCAGAACATACAATCAGCAGGTATTTCCATAGAAAGACTTGAATTTGCAAACCTAAACTATCAGATTAAAACTTGAGGAACAGTTATCAAAAGCAACATGAAATACCAGAGAATGACAAACAGAATCATGGGAATGTGGATGGAATTATGTCTGTCTAAATCAGAAAATAACATACATGTATATGCTCCTGCTTCAGTGGAAAAGAATCTTTAATTAACACAATGATAAAAGTCAGAGAGACAGAAAGTTTAGGTTTTAGCGACTTACATCAGATGTCTTTAGGGAAAATAACTATTTCATGTATACTGCAGAACTACACAAAACGTTCACATCAGATGGTTTACTTTCCTTAAGTTTTGTAGTGTGAAGATAAATCTTCTTAAACTCAAACTTGCTTAAATGTCATTTTTATGGTCATATACGGACCATTTAAGTCATGTCAGAAACGCTTCCAGAATTTTTTTATCTTTTTTTTTCAATACTGAACTATTTTACAACACACTTGTAAAATTGGAGATTGTATTGTGCGATATTCATGGCTCCCTTTAAGCAAATACATGCATCTATCAGCTGACAGTTATTCCATTAAAAAAGATATATACTTGTTGCCTGTCTACTAAAAGCTTATAGCCCAAATCAGGTGTATTATCATAACGTAAGTAACAATAGACAAAGAAACAGATCTACTGGAAGCACTCCAGATTTTTGTGTTGTCATTAAAACACAGAGGTATTTGCACGGACAGATACCAGTGGAGGTCCAAATTATCCAATAATTCAGGAAAATAAAACATTTCTTAATCTAATCTGATATCAGTAAATAACAATGCGTATGGGCTTTAGTGTTGTCAGATATTCTCTTATTTGATGACAGATTGTCTCAATATAAGAAAAATCTATGAACATTTTGTC